CCTCTCTCCCCCCCCTCTTATATACCGTGTTTCCCCAAAAATAAGACACTGTTTTATATTTATTTTTTCTCAAGAAGACACACTAGGGCTTATACCACAAATGCATAGAAATCCTGCTAGGGCTTATTTTCGGGGAAACAGGGTATTTAGCCAACTCGGCTAAACTCTTTGACTTTTCCACACAAGATAAAACACTGGTCTAACCACACAGTTTAGACACAGCTTGTTTCTTTTCCATATAGACTCTCTCACAAAACTTTTAGAGTTCCACAGACTCTCTTTAGAGCTTTTCACACTTCACTCCCCAAAGAAGCCTACACAGAACTCTCTGTCATAAAACACGCGCGTGCGCGCACACACACACACATTCTTCTCAGAACATCTCCCCCCACACTCTCAGTCATCAGCCAATCACAGTACACTCATCTCCCCCTATCCCCCTCCTTGTATTACTGCAGTCAAACTAACATTTAAAGGGACACACACATATCAAAACATGGAATCATTACAGCCAGGTTTCCCCAACATGGTGCCCGTGGGTGACCCGCCACCTGCCCGGTGTTTTTGGAAAGTGGGTGAGGCCAGGTGGGGCTTTTGCCCAGCAGGGATTCTGATTGGCCACTGGAGATCTGATTGGCGGGGCAGACTTTTTCCCCCAAATGTCACTTTGGCAGCGGCCGCTGTCACAGCACAAGGCTCTTCGCAGTGTGACCGAACTTAAAACTCTGGCAGCCATTTTATTGCTGGCTCCGCCTCCCGAAGCAGCCATTTTGAGGCTGTGCCCACCACCCCGTGTCGGAATCCCAGAGGTGCCCACAGTCTCGAAAGGGTCGTGTCAGTGTCCCGCAGCAATCAGTTCTCAGCAACGTTCCTTTAAAACGTTTATTGAGTACAGTAAAGGCAGGTCACCTGTGCACACATTCTGTGTCAGAACTGGTTGGAAGCGTGGGAAATGGGGAGTGATGCACAATTCAAAACAGGGTCCCTTGATGCAGTTGAGCCAATCAGGGAATAGGCTACAGGGCGCCCAGGCTAACGGGTCTACGTTCCCAGCAAAAGCATCGGCAACAAGGTACCAAGGTCTAAGCTAGCAGATAAGACTAGAGATGTAAAATTTCTGGAAATTTTGAAGCTCGGAGAAAAAACCCGGGTTTTTTCGGGGGAAAATGGAAATTTTCGGAAACGTTGAAAAAAAATGCTACATTAGCACTTCTTTTTTCTTTTCCATTCGATTGAAAGTCATTCTGTTACTTTAGGAACATAAAATATGACTAGACATTTTTACTTGGCATGAAGTTATCACAACTAGCATATTAAATAGTGTATCCAAACAATTATTACAAACAGAATACCCACCCACATGCAAAAACAAAACTGAAACCTTTTGCTTTTCTTGTGACAATAGCACCTCCTAAAGGAAGAAATGTGTCTTGTTCTTGCATTGGAGAGTTCAGTTTGTAACCTAGGACTTGCTTGTCCTCAGTGCACAGAAATTAGATCAATCTGATATATATATTTTAGAAACGATTTAGAAAATATTTGAACACCTTGTTCTAAAATATTTTATTCACCGTGTTAAAATAAAACATTCCATAATTATTTTTTTTCTTTTCTTTTTTCAATTTTTCGGGAAAAAAACAGCTAGCAGATAAGACTAGAGATGTAAAATTTCTGGAAATTTTGAAGCTCGGGAAAAAAACCCGGGTTTTTTCGGGGGGAAACGGAAATTTTCAGAAAAGTTGAAAAAAAATGCTACATTAGCACTTCTTTTTTCTTTTCCAGTCGATTGAAAGTCATTCTGTTACTTTAGGAACATAAAATATGACTGTGGACATTTTTACTTGGCATGAAGTTATCACAACTAGCGTATTAAATAGTGTATCCAAACAATTATTACAAACAGAATACCCACCCACATGCAAAAACAAAACTGAAACCTTTTGCTTTTCTTGTGACAATAGCACCTCCTAAAGGAAGAAATGCGTCTTGTTCTTGCATTGGAGAGTTCAGTTTGTAACCTAGGACTTGCTTGTCCTCAGTGCGCAGAAGTTAGATCAATCTGACACCATACATATCTTTTAGAAACGATTTGGAAAATATTTGAACACCTTGTCCTAAAATATTTTATTCATCGTGTTAAAATAAAACATTCCATAATCAATTTTTTTTTCTTTTCTTTTTTCAATTTTTCGGGAAAAAAACAAAAAAGGCTTCAGGGGAAAAACGGAAAAACGTTTTCCCCCCGAATTTCTCCATTTTTTTCCCGGGCCTTCACATCTCTAGATAAGACTAGCCAAGGAGAAACGGAAGCTGAGATTCCAGTACAGCAGACTATTCATCAACCTCCCCCCCCCTTCCACCTTCAATGGTGCCATAGCTGGCATGTTGGGGACCACAGCCTGATGCCCATATGGAGCATCCCTTCTAGCAAAGAGAACAGCTGGTCGAGATGATTTTCTTTTTCTTTCTTTTTTTTTGGGGGGGGGGCATTTTTTGTATTTTTTTCAATACGTGCATGTGTGTGCGTTTGTGAGCACCTGGAAGTCACGGTGAGGGGCTCTGGAAGATATCCAGAGAGGTGGCTGAATCGAGCCTGCCCCCGCCTCCTGACTGCTGGTATTCCTTGGAGGTCTCCCATCCAAGTGCTTGCCAGAGTCGACCCTGCTCAGCTTCCGGGATCTGACGAGGTCGGGCCGGCCCGGGCTACCCAGGGCAGGGCGAGCTGTTTCTTTAAGGCCTGATCCCTTTCCTTTCCCTAGGGAGGTCCCTGCAGAGCTTCGTCGGTTAGCGCGTGGCGGGCAGGTGAACCTGGACCTGGAAGACCACCGCGACGAGGATTTTGCGAAACCCAAAGGTTCCTTCAGGGCTTTCACCGGAGAAGGGCAGAAGCTGGGCAGGTGAGCAGCTGGCAAGGCGCTCAGGAAAAGACGGAAGCATGCTGCTAGTCCTCATTGTCGCAGAGTGAAGCTTTAAAAATTGCATTCGCCCAGAGCCGCCAGAACACCTGGGCTGAAACCTCGGCATGGTTCTCGGTTGGCAAGAAAGGTCCGTCGTATCCTCTGTGCCCAGCGTAAAATTTCGGCTCTGCTATTATTAATCAATTAGAAGAAGAAGGAGAGAAGAGATAGGATTTATACCCCGCCCTTCACTCGGGAGTCTCAGAGTGGCTTACAATCTCCTTTCCCTCCCCACAACAGGCAGCCTGTGAGGTAGGTGGGGCTGAGAGAGCTCTGACAGAAACTGCTCTTTTTCAAGGACAGCTCTGAGAGAACTACGGCTTGCCCAAGGTCATCCAGCCAGGTGCAAGTGGAGGAGCGGGGAATCAAACCTGGATCTCCCAGACTAGAGTCCGCGCACTTAACCCAGTACACCAAATTAATTTAAAGCATTTCTGTGTTGCGTTTCGGCCCAACTTCTCTGCCTCTTTTCGTTTTCATTCCTCTGCCTTTGGCTTCCATAACGATTTGAAATGTCACTTTTTAAAGTCAAACTGAACGGTACGGGCTAAGACCGGGGCCTCTTTGGTCAGGGGAAAGCTCTTTGTGCCGCGACTGCTGGTCCGGGGGGGGGGGGGGCGCCGGGGTCCCCTCTCCTCTAAGCTGTGGAGTCTTGTGAGCAAAAATTCTATTTTGTGAGCTACTGGCATTAAAGTTGTGAGCGAGCGATTTGGCTACTGCATAAATTAGTTTGCTCTGGAGCCCTCCTTCCTGAGCCGAGACAAAAATGTGTGAGCCGGAGGCTAAAAAACTGTGCGCTAGCTCACATTAACTCAGCTTAGGGGGAACACTGGACTCCCCACCTTTATTGGCACTCGCCAAGGACTTTTGAAAGTGGGCGGGGCCCAGTGGAGCTTTTGCCCAGCAAGACTTCCGATTGGCTGTTGGAGACGCGGTTGGCCGTGCAGGTGTTTAAAGGCCTTGTGACGGAAGGAGAGCCGCCGCGGCCGTTTTGTGGCTGGCTCTGCCCCCCGCCCCCGCAAGAGCCATTCTGCGTCAGAATTCCAAAGGTGCCCACAGGTCTCGAAAAGGTTGGAGGCCTCCTGTGGTATGAGTCTGCAGGATCCAGTCCATTGTCTTTGTTAGGAGCGGAACAACGACGTGTCAGTTTGGTGTAGTGGTTAGGAGCGCGGACTCTCGTCTGGGAGAACCGGGTTTGATTCCCCACTCCTCCACTTGCACTTGCTGGATGACCTTGGGCAAGCCGAAGTTCTGGCAGAGCTGTTCTCCCAAGGATGGTTCTGGGAAAAGCTCTCTCAGCCCCCCTCCCCAACTCACAGGGTGTCTGTTGTGGGGAGGGGAAGGGAAAGGAGACTGTAAGCGGCTCTGAGACTCCTGAGTGAAGGGCAGGGTATAAATCGTATCTCTTCTCTTCTGTACATGTTGGGTGGGGAACAGTTTACACACTGTCCTTATAAGCCGAGTGTCAGCTGTGCAAAGAGTTTGCAGCAGATGTTAACCAGGTCATGCAGAGGTTACCGGCTTCAATCCCCAGCATCCCCATTTAAAAGGACTAGGGAGTCGGTGATGTGAGAGACCTCACCTGAGACCCTAGAGAGCAGCTGCCAGTCTGAGTAGACAAGATTGACTTTGTTGGACCCAGGGTCTGAGTCAGTCTCTGTCAGCTTCATGTGCTCTTGGGTGTTTGCTGCGAAGGTGCACCCACAGGACAGGAGAAAGGAAGTACATCTTCACACAGTGTATACTTCATTTCTTGGAACTCACTGCCACAGCAGGGCTCCTCTGATCTTCTTATGAAGGCCTCGGCCTCTGTGCCCTGTTGTTGGTCCTCCAGAGGAACTGGTTGGCCACTGTGGGAGACAGGAAGCTGGACTGGATGGACCCTCACTGGTCTGATCCAGCAGGGCTCTTCTGAGGTTCTTATGGAAGCCTGTTCCTGTGCCCTGTTGTTGGCCCTCCAGAGTGTGTGAGACAGGAGGCTGGACTAATTGGACTTTACTGGTGTAATCCAGTAGGGCGCTTCTGATGTTCTGACTGCATTGAGATGTTTCTCCTTCTGTATCCTTCTCCCCCGGCTCTCCGCCTGCCCCAGAAGCTCCACCCTCCCTTCTCATGCCTTTTAAAATCCATACATCGTCTTGAATAAGTGATTCGTCACAGTGCTACTGCTGCTCCCGAGTCCGTGTTTTCCTCCACTTCCTCCTCTTCTTTCCAAGCGCCTCTGTTGCATTAGCCACCAGTCGGTGCCAGTTTAGTACTGCTGCTGAGGGAGGGGAAGGAAGCAGGGGTGTCCCGTTCAGCAGTCCCGAGAGGGTGGCTCATAGCGCCGGCCTGGGGGTGGGGGTGGTGGAACATGGCTGTAGTGGGCAGGTGGATCTGTGGAGCAGGCTTGCTAGTTCCAGCTGAGAGCCAGCATGGCGCAGCATCTCGCTTCGTTCCCTTCTCCACCATTTTATCCTCACAACAACCCTGTGAGGTAGGCTAGGCTGAGAGTGACTGGCCCAAGGTCTCCCAGACAGCTTCCACAGCAAAAGTGGGGATTCAAACTGGGTTTCCCGGATCCTAGAGAGCCAGTTTGGGGTAGTGGTTAAGTGCGCGGACTCTAATCTGGGAGAACCGGGTTTGATTCCCCACTCCTCCACTTGCACCTGGCTGGATGACCTTGGGCAAGCTGTAGTTCTGATAAGAGCTGTTCTTGAAAAAGCGCAGTTTCTGTCAAGAGCTCTCTCAGCCCCACCTGCCTCACAGGGTGTCTGTTGTGGGGAGGGGAAGGGAGAGGAGTTTGTTAGCCTCTCCGAGACAGCTTTGGGTAGTGAAGGGTGGGGTAGAAATCCAGTCTCCTCCTCCAGTTTGGTGTAGTGGTTCAGTGCGTGGACTCTAATCTGGGAGAACCAGGTTTGATTCCCCATTCTTCCGCTTGCACCTGGCTCGATGACCTTGCGTCGATCACAAGTTCTCTCAGAGCTGTCCTTGAAAAAGAGCAGTTTCTGTCGGAGCTCTCTCAGCCCCACCTACCTCACAGGGTATCTTTTGTGGGGAAGGGAAAGGAGTTTGTAAGCCGCTCTGAGACTCCTTTGGGTAGTGAAGGGCGGGGTAGAAATCCAATCTCTTCTTCTTTTCTCTTCTCTTCTCCTGGCGTGAAATGCTATCTATACCTTGTGGCTAAGAGAGCCAGTTTGGTGTAGTGCTTAAGTGCGCGGGCTCTTATCTGGGAGAAATGGGTTTGATTCCCCACTCCTCCACTTGCACCTGCTGGATGACCTTGGGCAAGCCATAGTTCTGACAAGAGCTGTTCTTGAAAAAGAGCCGTTTCTGTCAGAGCTCTCTCAGCCCCACCCACCTCACAGGGTGTCTGTTGTGGGGAGGGGGAGGGAAAGGAGTTTGTAAGCCGCTCTGAGACACCTTTGGGTAGTGAAGGGCAGGGTATAGATCCAATCTCTTATCTCCTTCTTCTTATGTATCCCCCTGCACAATGCAGGGAATTCACAAATACCTCCACACCCACAGTGGCCCCTGCTCCACCACGCCCAGAAGATGACAGAAAACCTCCAGGATCCCCAGCCAAACCGGCCTGGATCAATAATTGCTTCCCGACCCCAAAGTGGCGATCAGCCTTTCCCTGGGCGTGTAAGAAAGCGCCATGAGAACTAAGCACTGAGATGTGCCAGTCCTCCCTAGAACCGCCACATGCTTTGCTCAATAACCCCCCCCCCCCGTGCCCTTTTCCTCAGCACCGCCCCCCAGGTGATGGGCTCGAGCTCTCCGGCGCAGGAGGCCGAGAACGAAGCGAAAGCCAGCTCCTCGGTTGACATCGACGAGTCGGAGCCCACCACCAACATCCAGATCCGACTGGCGGACGGCGGGCGGCTGGTCCAGAAGTTCAACCACAGTCATAGGTACAAGGGCTGAAGGGCGGCCTGGATTGTGTGCGGAGGGGGAGGATCTGTCGAGCAGGGCCTTTTTGGTGGTGGTGTTCGCCAGCGACCTGACCCGGATGGCCCAGGCGAGGCCGATCTCTTCAGCTCTCAGAAGCTAAGCAGGGTCGGCCCCGGTGAGTGCTTGGAGGGGAGACGGGGAAGCCCAGAGCTGCTGCACAGAGGCAGGCAAGGGCAAACCTCCTCAGTTCTTCCCTGGCCGGCCGGGACTTGAAGGCACTTTCCACCGCCCATTTTAAAACCCTGGTCTGGATGGGCCAGGCTGGACCCGTCTTGTCCGATCTCAGAAGCTAAGCAAGAGAGAGATCTTGGAGTCGTAGTAGATAGCTCACTGAAAATGTCGAGACAGTGTGTGACTGCAATAAGAAAGGCCAGTGCTATGCTGGGGATTATTAGGAAGGGAATTGAAAACAAGTCAGCCAATATCATAATGCCCCTATATAAATCAATGGTGCGACCTCATCTGGAATACTGTGTGCAGTTCTGGTCACCCCACCTTAAAAAGGATATCATAGCTTTGGAAAAAGTGCAGAAAAGGGCAACTCGAATGATAAAAGGGTTGGAACACTTTCCCGATGAGGAAAGGTTAAGGCGCTTAGGGCTCTTTAGCTTGGAGAAACGACGACTGAGGGGTTGACATGATTGAGGTTTATAAGATTATGCATGGGAAAGAGCAGGTAGAGAAAGAGGTCCTTTTCTCCCTTTCTCACAATACAAGAACTCCTTGTGGGCACTCCATGAAATTGCTGAGCGGTCGGGTTAGAACGGATAAAAGGAAGTACTTCTTCACCCAAAGTGGGATTCACACGTGGAATTCACTGCCACAGGAAGTGGTGGCGGCTACAAGCATGGACTGCTTCAAAAGGGAATTAGATAAGCATATGGAGCAGAGGTCCATCAGTGGCTATTAACCACAAGGTATAGATAGGGACTCTGGGGCAAGTGATGCTCTGTCATC